ATACACAAACATGGTGCAGACGTTGTACAGAACTGTGAAGACAAGGTGGGTTAGATAGAAACATTTAAGTTTATCACTTTTCCTGATGAGATACAGCTCCTCACTCCTCTACACTTGAGACTGTGTGTGTGTGTGTGTGTGTGTGTGTGTGTGTGTGTGTGTGTGTGTGTGTGTGTTTGCTGCAGGCTTTTGCTTTGAATGTCTCTTTTATATATTGTGTTTAAACATGTTTTCATGGTAAATCCTGTAAAAGTGTTTTCTTCAGAGGAGGTTATAAAGTGTCACCTGGGGCCAGACACATATCGATGTATACAAACATGAACCATATTTACACCTTTTCACACAGAAAGCTTTATATATATGGGTATTAAGGAAGAATGAGCTGATAGAATGTTTGCAAATGTTGCATATTTTTAAAACCGCTGTACGGATACAGATGCAAAACACATTTACTTACCAAAATAGCTACACTTCTACTAAAATAAGAAAAAGAGGATGCAAATGCTGTTTTGAAAAAGCAGATCTTCTAAATGAGCATTTTGAAAGAAGATAGTCGGAAACATTCTTTTTCTTTTCTTTCATCATTTTCTAAATGACAATCTCCCATCCTTTTGACAAGTACTCAAGGCCTTATGCATCCCAGAAGCAGATCTTAAACATTTGAAATGAGATGAACCATGTGGAAAAGCTACATTCATCAGCTAAAAACTCACAATGTGCATTAGATTACCAAGGCTGTTACTCTGTCTTGTTACATCAACATTCCTTTGTCATGGCACTAATATTCAACAGCGTCAATTATCTGACAGTAGCTTAAACATCCTCCCATAGAGCTACTAAGAGAAATTTAATTCAACAATAAAATGAATACACACACATATCTCACTCATGCATCTATAACACACAGAGCCAGTAATTCCATGGTACCTGTTAACATAAAAAGATAACTGTAAACATTTAGAAGATAAATTCCACTTCCAAATCGCTTTTTTGAATGACTTCACAGCAGAATTTAGTGCAGTAATGGCCTCTACATTAAAACTGTTTGGGAGCCTTGAAACGTGAGCTTTTAATGCCTCGTGATGTTTGCAAGAGAAGAGAGTTAGGGTTGATAAAGAAGGTGAGCAGTGTGGGACAGGTCCTTCCAGTTGTCTGTAGTTTCCAGAGACAGCATGAGGTAAATGTATGTTGAAGAATTGGTATGTTTATGTTGATTAATTTTAAGATACTTTGATCACTCTCTGCAGACTCTTGATGTCAGCTGCAGAACTGCTGCCATGCAAGAATAAAGGTGCTGTTGATCAGGAAACGCAATGAAGGCATGACAGAAGACACCAGCAGAGTTTGTGGCAGGTTAATCTTCCTGAGAACTCTCGTGTGTAATCATTGCTTCTCTATCCAATAACACTGTTGGTTTTCTGTGTATACGCCAGGTCCTTCAATGTGTACGTGCCCAGGAACGTGACCTGTGACACCCTTTACACACCTACCCCACCGACCTCCAGTCCCTGGTGATAAACAGGGTAGCTGTGGAAAGAGTGTCACTGTCCTCCTAGGATCAATGATGAGCTCTTTTGTTTTAATGGTAGTTAAAGTCAGGTTGTGAGCTGCACATCATCCATCAACCTCTGCAACTCCTCCTTATGTGCTGTCTCATTAGAACCGCCACAGTTTGTTCCGATTGAAATTTAATATGTGAATTTTGTGGACAAGCTTACAGTCATGCTTGTGCAGATAGTCCAAAAATGAATACAGGCTTGTTGGTCTCCTGAGCTGAGAAGAGAGGGAGAAGGAAATGTCTGAGGTGTTGGTAAAAAGAAAAAAAGTTGTGTATCCACACGCAGATTTGATGGAGGTCTGGTTCAGACATCTTGCATAATACAGGAGAAGAGTGTTACTTGCAGATCTGTAATAACAAATAACTCCTCATACAATACTGGTTGTTCCAGGTGGGCCAGAACCTTATGGAGGAGGGTAGAGAACCATAAAATGTTGTGCCACTGGTTCTTTTTGCACAGTGATGAGTGTTACAACCTCCTAACTGTAAAGATGTTTCCTGCAACAATAAAGACCATAACCCATTTAACACTGTGGGTGTTCGGTTGTGGTAGCTCTCCATGCTTTTCTGGTGGGCTTTAGGTGGCTTGGTATTAAATACATTAAGTAGCAGGATTTTTTTGCAGTCTGGTTTTTATACTGGTCATGTTATAGTGGTTTTTACAGAGGAGACGTGATGGAGACTCCTTAAGCATGTCGGTCAGGACTTCAGCTACAACGCAGTCTCATAGCACCCATTAAAATTGAAAGAGGAAAAAATTACTCTCTTGAACTCAAACACGTTAAAATATAAAAGATGTGAGCGCCGTTATGGCTGCTCTCGTGGTCTTCCTGTATCTGTTCTGTCTATATGTGTGTGTGTAACCTTGGTCAGGCTGTTCTGTGGAGTCAAGTTCCTATGCTCTGGTTCGCTGGAGCGCTGGCAATAAAATTCTCTCTGATTCTGATTCTCTGATGAACCAAACACATAAGAAGTCCATAATAGGAAAAGAGGCCATTCCTCAAGATATCAGAGACTGCATCTCATTCTCATATCTGTCGAAATACCAATCCAAAACAGCTAAAATACATCTCAAATCATGAGTTGTAAAAACTACTTCCATTTCATTACATTTAGACAACATGTGACTTTAAACCAAATTTCAGGAGGCAGATAATTCAGAAATCCTGGGTATAAAATATTTTCTAGGATTCTCCATGGGGCATTTGTAGAAAGTTTGAAAGATCATGGTGCAAGGACTTCCCCACTCCCTCTTTTTCATTCACAAAGGAAAAGCCATTGTAGCAGGAGATCTTTGATCTGTTGAACATGAGAGAGCCATATTGGCTGGGGCAGCTGCCTCTGTCACCTGCTGCCAATCTGAATGTTAAAGTGAATCAGCGGTGACCTGGGAGGTTTGGTAGGGTCTGGTCTGGTGTGTGTGTGTGGTATTTCCAGCCTGATGCACTGGTCTTTACCAGTCACCTTTAGCTAATTAGGAAGTATGCAGGGTACAGGTGCTGGCCAGTAAATTAGAATATCATCAAAAGGTTGAAGATATTTCAGTAATTCCATTCAAAACGTGAAACTTGTACATTATATTCATGCAATGCACACAGACCAATGTATTTCCAATGTTCATTACATTTAAATTTGATATTCATAAGTGACAACTAATGAAAACTCCAAATTTGGTATCTCAAAAAATTAGAATATTCTGAAAAGGCTGAATATAGAAGACACCTGCTGCCACTCTAATCAGCTGATTTACTCAAAACACCTGCAAAGGCCTTTAAAAGGTCCCTCAGTCTTGTTTTGAAGGCACCACAATCATGGGGAAGACTTCTGACTTAACAGCTGTCCAAAAGACAATCATTGACACCTTGCACAAGGAGGGCAAGACACAAAAGGTGATTGCTAAAGAAGCTGGCTGTTCGCAGAGCTCTGTGTCCAAGCACATTAACAGACAGGCGAAGGGACGGAAAAAATGTGGTAGACAAAAGTGTACAAGCTCTAGGGATAACCGCACCCTGCAGAGAATTGTGACGACAAACCCATTCAAAAATGTGGGGGAGATCCACAAAGAGTGGACTGCAGCTGGAGTCAGCGCTTCAAGAACCACCACGAGGAGACTCATGAAAGACATGGGATTCAGGTGTCGCATTCCGTGTGTCAAGCCACTCTTGAACAAGAAACAGCGCAAGAAGCGTCTCGCCTGGGCCAAGGACAAAAAGGACTGGACTGATGCTGAGTGGTCCAAAGTTATGTTTTCTGATGAAAGCAAGTTCTGCATTTCCTTTGGAAATCAAGGACCCAGAGTCTGGAGGAAGAGCGGAGAAGCACAGAATCCACGTTGCATGAGGTCCAGTGTAAAGTTTCCACCGTCAGTGATGGTGTGGGGTGCCATGTCATCTGCCGGTGTTGGCCCACTCTGTTTCCTGAGGTCCAGGGTCAATGCAGCCGTCTACCAGGAAGTTTTAGAGCACTTCATGCTTCCTGCTGCTGACCAACTTTATGGGGATGCAGACTTCACCTTTCAACAGGACTTGGCACCTGCACACAGTGCCAAAACCACCAGCACCTGGTTCAAGGACCATGGTATCCCTGTCCTTGATTGGCCCGCAAACTCGCCTGACCTTAACCCCATAGAAAATCTATGGGGTATTGTGAAGCGGAGGATGCAATACGCTAGACCCAACAATGCAGAGGAGCTGAAGACGACTATCAGAGCAACCTGGGCTCTCATAACACCTGAGCAGTGCCACAGACTGATCGAGTCCATGCCACGCCGCATTACTGCAGTTATTGAGGCAAAAGGAGCCCCGACTAAGTATTGAGTGCTATACATGCACATTCTTTTCATGTTCATTCTTTTCAGTTGGCCAACATTAGAGAAACAAACATTTTTTCATTGGCCTTTAGAATATTCTAATTTTCTGAGATACCAGATTTGATGTTTTCATTGGTTGTCACCTATAAATATCAAAATTAAACGTAATAAACATTGGAAATACATTGGTCTGTGTGCATTGCATGAATATAATGTACAAGTTTCACGTTTTGAATGGAATTACTGAAATATTTTCAACCTTTTGATGATATTCTAATTTACTGGCCAGCACCTGTATATGGAGGGATCTCAAACTTTAATTGAAAACCTTTTCAAGACTTTTTAAGACCTTCTAGAATAAAATTAAACACTCATAAACTCTTTTTACATACTACAGTGCTTTGCTTTCCACTTTTGGCAGGACATTTCCCAGACATCAGGCTGTAGCAATGGTAAGTAAAGTCACGTGATACAGAAATGCAAGTGAATAGCTGGCATAGGGAAAAAAGTCATCTTATTGCACCTAAAAAACATGCAAACTCAGAGGGTGTGAAAAAGGTGACAATTAACGCCTAAAATGAAACTGATATTGAGAGTCCAGCAACTCTCCAAGGCTGTATTTGTTGTGCTTACCTGTGTTTGGAGGCATGGCTAGAGGAGTACAGGTTCCCTGCTCTTTTGATGGAGAGGACAATAAAATCTTGGCAAGCAATGCAGAGATGGGCTGAACCAGCAGAGATGTCAGACTTCCTGCAGTCCCAGCTAGAAGAAAGAAGAGTAAAGATACACATTCTTGCTGTGGTAAACTTCTACCATCTGCTAATGATACAATTGATATCCTTCAGTTTACTCGTCTTTTCAGACCTTCTTCCTTTTGAGCCATTTGTGTTGTTAGTGCAGAGGAAAACAACCACACATGCATAAGCTGTGAACATTTGAATCACTCCACCTAAATGTAATATATAGAATATATTTTATGCTGCAAGAATGTTTGTAGAATGTATAATTATTTCCAAACATTAAAATGATGAGCATGGTCAGGCTCAGAATCACCAAAGCACTAATGTCGGATTGTATCCTGGAGCAAACAGGTGTACGAAATTTAGCGGAATGAGATGTTTGCAGTGCAGTTTGCACACTGTGAGAGAAGGGAGGGAGAGGCGACATGATGCTCCATTCACAGTCTCTACAGACCACAGTAACAGCCAGCGAGCCAACTGGTTTGTTCCGCTCTGAAAGACATTGATCAGAATTTGCAGATCACATTTTTTTAACGGAGATCGGGCGCGTGCAGCCATCATGCATCACTCAATACAGCGTCCGTGCGGAACTTGCAGAGGAACTTTCATCCGCTGCTCTTAAATCATGCAAATGGGTGATAAATTCATTATTTAACGGAACAAATAAACCGAAATGGTACGCACGTGGACTGAACTGCCTGAACCAAAACGGTTTGAATAACCCCCATGAACCAATACACCCCTGGTATTTACAAATGGCAATCTTTCTGTTTCTGTGCATTTTTTGACATGTTTGAGTAAACTTGATTAAATCTAGAATCTAGGTCTAAAAACGTCTTAGTGCTGCCTCCTGTGGCAGAACAATGGCTACTGCATTTTAAACTTGTGATTGACTGGGGCTGGAACAATTTCACATCATCGGTACAGTCTCCTCCCACTCCCCCTCCGTCCCAGGATGGAAATTCCCCACACTTGGCCATGCCACTCTGTGCCTCCTAGCAACGCCCACTTTCATAGCATTTTTTAAATCTTGACAAGGGGTGGAGTTACATTTTCTGATGGTGTGCAGTCAATGGGCAATCAGGCGGGGTGCACCCTGGACAGAGAGCCAGTCCATCACAGGGCAACACACACACACACACACACACACACACACACACACACACACACACACACACACACACACACACACACACACACACACACACACACACACACACACACACACACACACACACACACACACACACACACACACACACACACACACACACACACACACACACACACACACACACAAAAACCTAAGGACAATTTGGACAGACCAATCAACCTAACAGTCATGTTCTTGGACAGCGGGAGGTGGTTACCTTTACCCTGGATACCCTCTGCATGAGGTGGTTAACATGCAAGATGTCCTTCTGGTTTACTGAACACACATTACTGATTATCATAATTATTATTATTGCACAAAGCATAATAAGTCATTTCAGTAATTAAAATGCATTTATACTGAACCAAGATTTATGATGATTGTAAAAAACAGTAATAAAGTCAAAGAGTTTATTAAAATTATTATTTAAAAATTAGAATTGTGAAATCTTGAAGTGTCCTTCATCTTGGGACGGAACAGCAGCAGATAAAGATGGTTTCAGCAGACATCATGGCTCCTGGCGGGTTAATCTGTGGGGCAAAGTTACAGTTCGACCCAGCTTGACCCAGCTGGGAAAATGTGACCTTTGTCACAAATTAGAGGCCATTCATGACACTACAACACTATTAAACAGTCATCAAGGACATGTGTGTGTTATGATAACAACTTTCTTTTTTTTGTCAGCTACCATTCTGTGATTTATAAATAAATAATCAATAAATATGTAAATAAATAACTGTAATGTTAAACTTTTAGTAAGATTTAGTGTTTTTTTCCGGGAAGAACAGTATTCTTTTATAATTCTGCCCCATGTAATTCACTCAGAGTCTGACTTGCCAGATCCATCCGACTTATCTTTAGGATTCTGACCTAATAGCAAGCAGAAGAAACGCTAGCGAGGAGTCTCCTGACAGCACAGACAGAACTGACTGCTGAAGGCAGGCAAAGGGTGGATGATGAGATATCAAACATGTCATTCTCTAGAGCCTCCACCCATTAAGCCAGGGTACATGAGATGGTGTGGATGTAGGAACTGGCTCCTGTAGGGATTCCTTCCTTCCTATGATTAAATCACTATTTCATTCCATGCTTACAGGTGACTATTGCTTGCTTTGTCCACACAGTGAAATTGATCAACTACAAAAATTAATAAAAAACAGTTTTGGTTCTAAATACATTATTTAGAGAAGACTATGCAGTAAAAAAAAGTTACTCAAGGAATGTCAAATCATTTCAAGAAGATTTGCAGAACATTACATTTTATTACAGAGTTAAGAATCAAACATAAAAAAAGACCTCTGTACACAACATTTTATGGGGTAAAGGTAATATTTAACAATATTTTGCCAGTAGCATCCAGTTTCATGACATTTCATGTATTTTATAGCCTGAATGTGGAAATAAAGACAATTTAAAGTTGCAAGAAAAGTGTTTTGTTGTCCTTTATGCCTTTCGTCAGGGTTAAATCACATTATCTGCACAGCTGATAGTCATAACTCTAAACCGAGGCAATGCTTAGGTTCCCTACTCTTTCCATTCCATAGCCAGTTAAATCTTGCATACCCCATTAACTTATATGTTTATTGTTAGATCCCGGCTTCTCCTGCAGCTCATACTTTGTTCAAGATTGCTAATAATCAATAATCTTACCTTAGCGGTAAGGAGAAGATCCCCAACCAATGAAAAATCCCTTGTGGTCTCTTTAAACCAAATTTACAGTCAATGACTTTCTGTCACAGTTCTAGAAAGTGTCACTGCAGCGCTCCAGCCTCACAAGATGATTAATAATCCATGAACGACGCACGAGACAAGACTGAGTGGAGGGAGACAAAGACGTGAGAGGGTGGGGGGCTTAAAACTGAGAAAGGAGCAAAAGCAAAAAGTTAAAGACACTGGAAGATCGGAGACAGATGGGGTGAAAAAGTTCCTCCAGGAGGAAAAAGATGACAGGTGGGAGGAGAGGAGAATGGATACAGCGATAAGAGAATACCAGAAGTGTCAAGAAAGGAGAAAGTTGAAAGAAAATGGGCAGAGAGAAGGAAGGGAAGGAGGACAGGAGATGTAGTCGGCTGAAGGGAGAAGAAGGCACAGAGAAAAGGGATTATTGGTGCAACAGCAATTCCAAGAAAAATAACTGGATTTTTGGAATACAGGCTACTGTTGAGCATCAACAGCCTCACCTACCACAACCATGTCAGATCTCACATAGAACTGCATTACGGGACATAAACTGTAACCACACAGTTTAGTTTTTAAACATTTAAACATTTTAAACAATATTGCAGTTTTAAACATTAAAACTGCAATATTTAGCACTGTAGTTCTGCAAATTAAATCAGAGCATTTCTAAACGCTACTGGCTTTATTCCAACATCATCACTGTGATCAAACTAAAACGTTTCTACACTTTTTTATAATTTAAAAACTGTTTTCAAGTCTCGTACACGTCTAAAGAAGACCCGTTAGATTTTTAATCGTTGTTTCCTTTTTCAGTCAGGTGTTTTTTGTTTAAAAGACTTAGAAGTTCTTTGAAGGTCGAACTGGAAATATAAGCAATAATCACCAAACAGCCAAAAAGAATCACAAGATTGTGTACACACGTCTTGAGAGGTGCCTCATAAATAACTTACTTACTCACCCAGAAAGACAAAACAATGGGCACATAAACTATTGATCAGTTCAACATCAATATAAGAATCAGTCCAGTTGATTCAGAATGTAAAGTGAATAAAACCACTTCCATGTTGACCATTCAGTTCACCCACATCTTACCGTTGATGAGTAATTCAGATTTATGGCTTAGTGTAATAAAGGAGAGGGAACATGTACTGTTTACAGACAAAAGCTGAATGTGGCTCCACTTTCTTGAGTTCCCTTTGTGTCCTTTGATAGCCAGTGAAAACACACTAAAACCTCATGGCAGATAGGATTCTTATGTAGCAGCAGACTATTTTAGAAGTTGTGTTTATAAAACGACAGTGTTAAACTCTCACAACCCTTCTTTCCTCCTCACAAACCATTTCTTCCACTCCGTTTGTTGTTCATTTTTCTCTTGGAATTAAACCATCTACACCTATTTTTTTATCTTCTCCATTTTCAGAACATTCAGTAAAGCGAGAACTCAACAAATCAATAACGGGCAGCATCCACGCTCTGTAAATCAGTCTTTCCATTACTGGACACTGATATTGACCGATACCTGCATTGACAGACTGGCTCTATAGGGCAATGTTTCTTCGCGTGCGTGCGCATGTGTGTATTTGAGTGTGCACGTGTGTGTATAGACGAGTACAGAACTCTGACATCTTGACATATTTACAGAGGCAGGACCATCTGTTGCTACCGTGTGGAAACAGAAATAGCAGAAATCATCTAACCAATTTGAAGAAAAACTGTCAAGAAAAGAGAAAGAGTAGGGCACTCATTGATTTCCCAACTAATTAAATGGGTCGAGCAGATTTAATGGGTGTTTCAGTGGAACTGTGAATAGATATGAAAGATTTACAGTAACAAAAATACTCATACTAACTAGTACAGATAGATGCAAACGTCAGTATGACTTATAAATTAGGTGATATCCTAATGGTATGTAAAGTTTGTAAATGTACACACACACACACGCACATGCACACACACACACACACACACACACACACACACACACGCACACGCACACACACACACACACACACACACACACACACACACACACACACACACACACACACACACACACACGCACGCACGCACAGAGTGTATATGGAAACTATACACCCCTGTCAATTTTTCACTTTGTAAAATTGCAGCTTTGCTAAAATCAAATTCTTTTTTTTCCCACATTAATGTACACAGCAGCCCAAACTGACAGA